CTGAACAGAAATTTGACCTGATGCAGAGTTGTTGCGCTCAAATGCTTGAGTTTCACTTCCACTTTAACTAATCACAAACTAGCTACGAGAGCAGATGTAGGTCACAACTCATATCAGTATGCTATCGGACGGATGATCTAAGACAAACAGTCGTTAGTGACTTGTCTAAGATCATTTTATAGCTGGTAGCAGAACAGAACATCCACCCAAACCCACCCGAACAACGTAGCCACTCACCCATGACGACCTTTCTTATTAGATCGGCTCTATTGTAATTAGAAAAACTCAAAAAATATTGGTTTTCTAAGGTTTTTTTTCCCTGTACTATCACTATTTTTATGTTTTTTTTTCCAATAGAACATCTCGATCTCTCTCGAATCATCTTCAATTTTAACATAGGAGTTTAAACTTTGCACAAATGACATTCTCCATGGGATCAGTTTATTATGAAAGTATCAAAACTTTAATCTAATCTCTCTGTGTCGTCATCATCACACCCACACCCTTTTGTTGTCTATTAATAAAGTTAGAATTCATACTTTAGCTTGAGCATCTTCTCGTTTTATTTTTTCTGCTTCTTCATCTGTAACTTCAACAATACGTGATGATTCATTCTTTGCAGCTTCTTCTTCTTCACGTTTACGACGTAATTTTTCACGTCGAATACGATCAGCCTTTGAAGAAATAAAGAATTTTGCTTTTAAATAAAAAAATAAACTAAAATCTTATATTAACTTACTTCATCTCTTTCAGCTTTATCCTTTTTATGTTTTTCTACTGCAACTTTTTCCCATTTACGAAATGCATGTAAAATTAATTCTTCAGGTTTTTCTCCAACATTTGGACTTGTATATAAATCAGTTTTACGTGCAAAAAAACCGAAAAGTGTATCAAGTAACTATTAAAAAAGCAAAGAAAAACGAATGAATGAAAAATTTTAATTTAATCACTTCGTGAATTCCGCCAGTATGTTGTGAAGCAATATTCATTAAAAGTGAGTCGTATTTTTCTTCGTCAGACATGTTTGAAAAAATCTAAAATAAATTTTTAATATTCATCAAAAAAAGAACAAAAACACATAAAGACAAAATCCTAATGAAATAAACATGGTTTGTTAATGAGCGTAAATGTATCTTTTCAAATTATTTATGATCAATTTAATAGTATTTTGAGTTTCTAGACCTTGACGAGTACACCTACAGAATGTTCGTGAGAAGTATAAATTAATATTTCGAACTTCATGGTAGAACACTCAATAACAGGGGTTATCAAAAAGTAATTTGATAAAATGATCATTTATTCTTCAGCCTACAAAAATTTGAAAAGATTGAGTTTGCATCAAAATTTTTGTATTGTTTCCGAATATAGGTTTAATATTTCTCTAGAACTTCTAATTTACGTTGTTTTGCAGAGAATTAAAGACGAAATTGCTCTCTACAAAGTGATATAAAAATCAAAAGTTTGAGAAAAATCATTTAGAAATGATCGAGCTCACATTGTAAATTTGTTATTCCATAGAAATTAAGAAAATCGCCTAACGAGCGAAGTCCTCGTACTGATAAATCACTTTTGAGTCGAGACTATGTGCATTGTGCAGATCTAAATGAGTTATGAATATCCTGAAAAAAGTTTATGTGCTTAGTTTATTGTTGCGATGATACTGAACTTTTACCGCATTTTTTTAATGAATGTCGTGAGTCTCCTTATTAAGACCAAAAAAACTAATTTTCGAATTCTAACTTGAAACTTATCTTAGGATAGGAATAACGAAAATATCTGAAAGAGTCACAAGAAACTGTTCTCATAAAAGTCTATTTCTATGTAAAGTTTAATTTGAAATTCGAAAATCACTTTTTTCAGATATTCCTGAGGGAGACCGCAGCATTCACTTTAATAAGTGCATTATCTTCAAAGCAATAAGCTAAGGACACAAATACTTTTTAGGGTCTAAAAAATATATATATAGTTTCGGATCAAAATCAACTTATTAATTGAAGGACTTCCTTCGTAGATTAGCATTATGACCCTTACCAAAATACTCACAGTTAGATCTCAGAAAAATGCAGTTTATAACTCTTAAATCAGAAGTCATACAAGAATTTCAAAGTCATATTCGAAAAGAACATAAAATTCTGATTCCTACCCAATGTTTTCGAATTTTAGTTAACTATGAGAAGAAGCTGAAAAGAACATTTACTTGCCGATATAAACTTAATATGAAATTGATAAAGATTTTTATTTCTTACAGACTTATATCTTTCAATAATTCTTCTTTTGTCTTTCTCTTATAACTGTATTTGTTCATATAATATTATATTGCGTAATAAATTCATTTTCATTGGCCTACAAAGATGAACATATTGATTAGTCTGTTGCTAAGGAAATATAAAAGAAAATACTAAAAAATCTATCAAATAAATTATCTAATTGTTTGTTTCTAATGGTTGTTATTTATAAGCGATCTAATAAGAGATAATAACGAAAAATAAGTTCCTCAATTGACGAACTTAATGATTTCGATGTCAAATAAATCCAGAAAATATAATATAGCAAATAGAAAATAATTTGATTTGTTTAAGTATTATATTTTCAAAATTTTAAATAATTAATTTAAAATGTTTGAAAAAAATTCTATAAAATATTCTATGAAATTTTTCTTTTATATATTTTAAAAAATTATTGGAGGACAAAATACAAGTTATACAAGATGGCGACACACACATATTCATTTAGCTTGTTCTTTTTTCGATACAACTTATTATCTACTTTTTAATATCACAATTGATAGATTTTATATTTTCTAGATTTCATTCGACTACCATCATGGATAAAAACCCAACTGGCGGTGTTATGGCACGTGTTGTTAAAATTCTTGGTCGTACTGGCAGCCAAGGCCAATGTACACAAGTACGTGTTGAAATTATCGACACATCATCATCAAAACGATCAATTATTCGTAATGTCAAGGGTCCAGTGTATGTTATTTTTTTTTTATTATATCTGAAGATTTTTAATTTTAAAAAATTATTTGAATTTTAGACGTGTTGACGATGTTCTTGTTCTTCTAGAATCTGAACGTGAAGCTCGTCGTCTTCGATAATCGTCAAATATTGTTCATATTAACATCAATTGAACAATCAACGACGATTTTCTTTTTTGTTTTCTATTTTATACTCGTTTCCATCAGAGTGTGCATTAGAAAATTAATAAACAAAATGATACAATAAGATTAAAACAACAAACACAATAAATATTTTCGATTATATATACATATATTTTTCTTCTTTATTATGGTTTGAGAATTACAAGAAAGTTGTTGAATGTTTAAATTTTCGGTATCTTTTTTTTTTTTTAAGTCTTAATTATGAGAAGTATATTTTTTCTTCTATAAAATTATAACACAAAAAATAGAGATGTATCCCACTGAAAAAAATTCTTCGACTTGAAATATTTCATACCGAGTAAACCTCTAGATTGAATGGAACAATACATTATTCTATATATAAAGTTGAAGACTCCTATTACATCCCATTAAATTCTTCACTCATGAGGAAAGTTCTAAAACTGATAAATTGCTTCTGAGTCGAGATTCCATGCACTATACAGACCCAAATGAGCTATAAATACTCTCAAAAAGAGTTCGTTTCTATAATTTATTGCGGCGAAGAGACTACATTTTTAAGATATTTTTTTCAATGAATACCGTAATTCCTTTGAGGGACATTAGAAAACCAATTTCGACTTGAAACTTTGCATAGAGAAAATTCTGAACGAGAATAATTTATTGTAAAAATTTCATGTCTTTTTATTTGCTTCTATCCTGAAATAAGAACATTAAATCCGTCATTTTATATGAGTAATGTAACATATAACGCTATTATAATAGCTGTATCTTAGGATAAGAATAACCAAAAAAAAATCTAACTCATTCACAAAAAACTATTCTCATAGAGACCTGTTTCTATGCAAAATTTCAAGTTGAAATTCGAAATTTATTTTTTTCAAGTGTTCCTAAGGTAGACTACAGCATTGAGCGAAGGGGTAGGAACTCTTTTCAAGATGATCTGGATCTACATGATGTATATAATCTCGACTCAAAAGCAATTTTTCAGCTGGAAGACTTTCTTCGTCAGAGAATCTTTGTTTTTTTATTCTGCATGTAACATTTTTATTTATATTTAATTAAGATTGTTTATTGATGTGAAAATAAATCTGATAGAACTATGATATTGAATAACATTACAATAGATTATTTTATTGTATTTGATTTAAACTAGTAGAACTATCGCAGACAATTTAATGAATTAAAAAAGCAATAAAAGTTAAGACAAATGACAATAACACTTAGTTCATTTCATTCGTGATTGATACTTTTGAGTTACCAAAGAAATTTTTTCTATGATAAAGCATGACAAAATTGAAATGTATAAAACTACGAATTTATATCATTATGTACTGTTTGAGTGTTTTTGATGTGAAAGTTAAAGTACCGGATCAAATAAAATACTGTATTTTGTTTGACAATATTTTTTTCATTAAATATCAGTGATATAATAATATCACATTAATCTAAAATCAAATTCAATTGAAAAAAAAAAAGAAACAAATACGAAGTTTCGTTTGTTTTTTTGCAATTATTCTTTAATATTACATGCCCGAAAATGTCTGCTATTGATCTAATTAATATAGATATAAACCTCCTAGTCATTTTCTTTTCAGTATTAAACATGATAGAGAAGTTTCTATTGAAATTATATTTAAGACGAATATAAAAAATTATTTTTGTTTTTTTATACGAATTATTGTATGAAAATTATCCAAAAATAGTCATTTTATAATGACGAAGAATAGATAAATCAGGTCATTGTTTTGTAAGTCATGCATAGCTACGATGAATAATAGCGTAAATATATTTATTTACGTCTTAAGTAGTAACTATAAAAACCCAAACGATTGTTGAAATCCAACATAAAAAACAAGCATATTTCAAAATTCTGAATATGAATCATTGGTTGATATTGACTGCAATTCTTCTTAGCTTCACGGTTGTTCAAGGTTTACAATATTCCTTATTTGGAAGATGTTCATATACAGGTGATCCACATCTTTGCCCATTTTTATCACCAGCAGGTTCAGGATCAAATATGTATTTTTGTCAACATGTTGGATGGGAAATACTTCTTCAAAATCAATGGGTATTGATTGTTGTTAAAGTTGGTCCAAGTCCATTTGTTATTGTTGATGTAAGTGGAATTTCTCAATGTAATGAATTAATTCATTTCATTTTTTAGTTTATTATTATTTTTTTGGATGGTACCGGAGGCCTTAAATGTATATTATTTGGTAGTCTTGGCTTATTAACATGTCCACTTAGTTCATCGATTATATCAATAACAAATATAGGTGGAACAGCATGGACTCATTGGCATCCAAATGCTCAATTTCTTAATATTCAAATTTCATCCTATGTATGTTTCATTCTCATATTAATCATTTCAAATTTCAAATTTTGTAATTTTAGCCTTGGATACTAGGTACACGTTATGATTTTGTGATTCGAGAAACATACGCTTTAATTCAACAATCAACTGGTATTTGTATTAAATTTAATTGTCCATTAGAAGGAATTATAATAGCGCCACCTCTAATTATTACAAAAATTTGTAATATTTATATTTCTTCAGCACAACAACGATTAATAGGTCGTGTTGATGAACGTACCGTTGGTTTTGTAAGAATTGCATGTCAAAATGATCTTCAACTTTCATTTAATCTAAAAGTAGAGAAAAAATTCAAAAAAGAAATTTATATTTATTTAGTATCTTGTTTTTCTATTTAGTTGGCACAATCAGCTGTTGCTCTTTTAATTCATATTAGTCTTGACCGAATCAACGATGAAAAATATCAAGATATTGCTGCTAAAGCCGAAGAAAATATTAGAGCAGCTCTTCTTGTAGCAAATCGTTTAGTTGCAACTCTTATTAAAAATGAAGGTACATGTTCGCAGCAACGACGTTGTTTATCAATTGATGATTAATAGACATATTTTTCTGCATCTTCTTTTTGTTATACTCAATACAATAGAAGTCATCATTTTTTATAATTCCGAAAATAAAAGAGAGAAAAATAATATGACCTAAAATGACGCAGTATGAATAAAAAACAACGTATCGCATGGTGTAATAACAACAATATCAATAAAATATAACATGGTGTATAAAGTAGTAAATGAGAGGAGATAAAAACAAACAATTATATGACAATAACGAAGTTGAAGGCAATTGTGATTCACTGAGTAGACGTATATTTTTTCTATAGAGATCAATATGGAAATCAATATTCTAAAAACTTTAGATCATTAAAGCTTGTACAAGTAAAATACATTTGTATAACAAAAAAATAAATGATTCCCCATGTCGAACGAAACGTGGTCATCAATGATATAAAACGGCGAAAATCGATGTCATTACGTTGTTGTATGTGATAAGCTCGTAAGACGGTGAAAATAGTAGAAGAAAGGATAATTGTTTGCTAGGGATGAAATATACTAATGACATATGATCAAAAAAAGTAATGCAATAATATATCATTTAAGACGATTAAAATGATTTCTTTGAATTAGTAAAAAAAAGAAATCGATGTTCGAAGAAAAGAAGTCTGAACAGATTTACGTGTCTCAAGATGAATCGATCTATGAAGATTTATAATATTGTATTTTGTGCTTTAATATGAAAAAGATGATTGAAGAATAAACAATAAGAATGCTCATATATTAAAAATAAAAAAGAATCTTTTGAATGAATCTAATTCAAAATATTTGAATTCAGAGAAATCAATTCAACGGTGTTGTTTTTCCTTTCTATCAAATAGAAAGCTCGCTGACAATTTGACTATACATTCACAACTTTTAGAAGTTTCCCATGTAATGATAACCGGTTAAAATCTGTTGATCAACCATACATATAAAACTCGAGATCTTCTATGAATCCCTGAATATCAACTAACAATCCGTGGAGATCTTTGGCGATGCCGTGGACAACGTAGAGAGATCTATTGGAGACTTTATGTGATGCAGTTGAGAGTGTCTCGATAATTCCTAGAACACTTATGTATAACGTTCTGAAGTTCCTTTTCGAGTAGTGACAGGTTGAGATGCACATGTTTTGACTAGGTGCATGGATGATCTGTGAAAGATAGATGGAAAACTCAACGATTTCAAGCTCAATTTGTTCTGACCGCAAAGTATTAAGTGTTGGCACTGTAGAGTCGTTTAAAACTCAAATATTTGAATCATAAGTTTTAATAGTTAAAAACTTGTATCGAATCAACGGTCTTTACCTTAACGATTATGTTAATAAATGACAGGAAATTTTATTGACAGCATGCTTCTTTATCATATAGACTCGTGCACAGTGTATTAACGAAATCCAATAAATTTTAACTAATTCAAGAATTTTTAAAGTAAGTCAATGACTATAGGAATACTTTTCTAGAATATTAAGACAAATACAATAGTAGCGTAACTAACAAATCATAGGTACATAGACGGCACTCCGTGATTTTCAAAAGAATTAATCTGAAAAAGTGTAAATGATGATATCTATTAGTTTTTTTGTTTTTGCTTGTTGTCGAACAAAGACTGTTGATGAAAGTGTGATGACCAGCCTGACACATCCTTGGTTACGCCTCTCAAATACAATCTTCAAATGAATTGAACCGATCATCACAGTGCAATGAAGCATGTCTTCTTCCTCATCATTTTATTTATATTTTTTTCAAGTTAATTTGAATTCGTTCGGTTTTGTTTAATATCTCGACACGAACAAATTCGATAAAGAATTCGGATCAAATGCTATTGGTGCATATCTTGTCGATAATGTAAAATAGTTTTGTTTATTGAATGTAATTTAAATCAACATAAAGGAAATATGTTCTTGTTGCTTAATTCTCGTTGAAAAAAAAAACAATGAAAAATAGATGAATTTTTTTTGACAGAATTTGATATACTTTTACATTAATGAGGCAAATTCTCTAAATGAGCTATGAATACTCTGTAAAGAGTCAATATATTTATAGGTCAAACAAAGCATTAATAAGAGCTTAATGTAAAAACCAATCGATTGCCTAACAAAGAAAAAGAAAAATCTTTTCATAAACTCATCATATAATAGATGTTTAATAAATTTCGAAAATTAAAAACAAAATATTTCTTTTACAATTTAAAAACGATGTTGATGATCATGCCCATTTGGTGGCATTAATGGTTTTATTTTTCTTGGTATAATAGCTGGTGTTATTCGCCTTCTTTGCTTAGGTAATTGTTGTCGAGCTTGTAAATGTGAATTAAAATTAGCAAATGTTTCAACAATAATTGGCATTGGTAAATCAATAATTAATACACCAACTATTGTTGTTATTGCACCAAATATCATTCCACCTAATGATTTTGGTACAGTATCACCAAAACCAAGTGTACTTATTGTACTTAATGCAAGCCATATACCTTCAACAATTGATATTAATTGATTATCAGCTGAATTACTTAAACGTTCAACATAATACATTGATGAACCGGCTATCATAATGGCAAGAAAAAAGAAAAATATCAATAAACTTAATACACTTGATGAATATGACATAGATGTTGTGATAACTTTTAATCGTGGATGAAGATTACATAATTTAAACATACGTGCTACACGAATAGTTGATAAAAGATCTAATGCAGCATTATAACCATCAAAATGAAAGATATTGTAGATGATATAAGTAAAAAAAAACAAAAATGTACCAAGAAAATCTAATTTCAAAAAAAAAAGTCAAAAGAAAAAGGAAAACAATTGTAAAAGAAGGACCCCGATGGGTTTGATTAGCAAATCTGTCTCTTCTCTGCCCCTCGAAATTTAAAAAAAAATGATATACAGCATGAAAGAGCATGCCGGAGGCAAATGTGTATTTAAGGAATGGAATGAACGAAATTTTCTCCTTCCGTCACTATATAGAGTATTGAACACTGGAACTAAATGCCCACATATCTTCGCTCTACAAAATGCGCTTATTTAAAAGCTTCTGAAAATTGTTCACATCTATTATTTCAGTATGTTTGAGGTTCAGTTTCAACCATTTCAACCCAACGCGATGCTCAAAATCAGAATCCGACATCAAAATCGAGTTCAATATGAAAAACGAAGTCTAATAATATGCGATTCATTGAAAGGTATTTTTCGTCAAAAATGAACCTGTGTTTCCTTTCGTTTTTTCTGCATCCAGTTTTTTCCTTGGTTCCTCGGGGTGGATTTTTGGCAAACACCTCCGGCATGCTCTTTCATGCTGTGTATCTTTTGAAAAATTCTGAGAGAGAGGAATAGATTTTTCATCAAATCCGATGAAATTCTTTCTTGTTCCTTACCAATCCAATTAAGTATTGACGTACAAAATGCTCTTTTTGATGGTGCAACGAGAAATCTTAATATTATTTCAAATACAAACCAAGAATTACCTAGAAACATTAAAAAAAAATATTTTTAATTACATATGCATATTATGTTCATACAAATCCATTCAATAGTATCAAAACTTGAAATTATTTCATGTTGTTGTGTATTATGTACCAATATTTGTTCAACTGTATTATCATTAGTATACGCAGTTAGAGTATCATATTCAGCTATTTGAAATACTGGTAATGTACGAAGAATAAATAAAGCAATTGAAGCAATTATAAAAAACATTGATATAACAGCAATTATCTATAAATTTCGAAAACAAAAACAAAAAGAAACAATTTTAAGTAATTTTCTTCAAAATACCAATTCACAATTTATTGGTTTCTTTTTTGATAGAATCAAAAAAGAAAACAAAGACCTTATATAAGTAGTTTTGTTATCCTATTGCTTCTTCTCTTATTAATCATAGCAATATACTAATATGTAATATTTGATTTTAAACTTATACGAGAATATTTTCAACTGTTTTTTTTTATGTTATTCATAGAAAAAGAAAGGTCATTAATGAGACGAAAGAAAATGTTCACAGAGTATGATTTACTGATGATGTGAATGATGCTTATCCTACTAAGATTTCAGTTGATAGAAAGATAATTAGAGAATAGTTAAATTAGAAGATTTTAACTTGAGATGTTTTCTAATTAATAGACATTTAATATCTCGAATAGTTCGATCATCTGATCCTTTCATGGATTGTAAGATATTTATATATTTATCCTTAATGGTTCGAGAACAAACAAAGTTAATAGATCTATTTATTGTCCTATGTCTGCACGCATTCTCACATAGAGTAAGTAACAGATTCTTATCAGAATGGAAAAAACATTAATACACATTCAAAACAAAAGAAATCTTCTTGAAATTCAAAGTAGTTTCATATTCGAGTCCAGCAGATAGTTTCGATTGTGAGAGCCTCCTCCACTTTCCAGTTTCCGATGCTTTTAGACTTTTAAAGTTTCACGACAGATAGATCTTGATGAATCAAGCAAAATTTACAATAGACTCACAATTTCCGGATGCATCTCTATAGGAGATATTAGAGTCACGAGGACGAGATATGTCCTCNGTCCATTAGTAAAAATTCAACCAACAATAGTCAAACTCAAGACAAAAGTAAAACAACAATCAAAACAAATACATTTTCTCTATACAATACTCAAGAAGATATCAGAAAATCACAAAGAAGAATGTCAAGAAGTCTACACAAAAAATGGAATAATTTACTGTGATGTATGCGAAAAAGAATTTACAATTTATGAACACGATGAATGGTTACATTTTTGTCCTGAAGCAGACATTTGTTGCAATTGTGTGAAAAAGCATTTTTCATAAAAATAAAAATTTTACTTTCATGAATATATTCGATAAGAATTATCAATAGCGAATAACAACAATATTGATGCTTTTTTCGGTTTGTTACTGTTCAGACAAATCATATGAAGATATTTGCTGATAATCAAAAAAACAATATTTAATATTCTATGACTACTTCGAAAGAAGGTTTTAAATGCTTTTTGTTTATCAATATGATGAAGCAAAAGAAAAAGTATATTACATGAGAGATAAATATAGAACAATAGAATCGTTGAACTTTCTTAGAATACAAATCATATATGATGTTGATAATACACGAAGATATGTTAACTTCTAATTTCCAGAAAATTCAAATATCGTCACATTGTGATATCCTGGATGGCATAGGCTATAGAGTTTTTTTGTAACCATCTGTATTAAATATCGAATAATGAGGACAAAGACTCAGTTTTTTACCAATAAAAGTCCCTACTTTGTGGTTCGATTTGAAAGTGTGAGAGAATTCATTTTCATTAGACGACTGTATAGAAATTATATATATCTTTTATGTTTCAGATGGATTCGGGCAAGAATATCTGATATATCGTGGTTGGGAGTAAGAAATTATATAAATTGATGTTTTTATTTCCGATAATCTGCCTTGTTGTTCACAAACGATATATCAACATTGTTCTTCAAGGCAAAAAGAGGACATCAAGGAAGAAAGCAAGTTTCTCATATTTTTTTTTTCATTATGATATCTCGCAAGAGTATATTTAAAATTAGGTTTAATTAATATTTTAATGGATAGATTCTAAATAAAAGTAGTTCTAATACTTCAGAAACACAAAGGTTTAGATAAATTAGGCAATGAAATAATTAATTTAAATCAAGTGATAAGTCTTCTCCTGGTTGATAATCATTGACACTAAGAACATTCCGATGTATGATGTTCAATCGATGACATCGAAGAATACAATTGAGTTTCTTGATTAAACAATAGTTAATTAGAAAATGAATAAGTTTATGATATGAAATATCAATCGATTCCTGTGTTAAATGTTTGACTTGTTTAGGAGGTATTTGCACGTTTTGATCATATACATATTGGTTGTTCCAATAATGTAGCATTGATATAGATGAAATACTCAATGATGAAGTAGGAAAGATACTTTGTGTCTCGATCAATCGTATTATTTGAAGATTAATAAATTTTTTTTTTCAGAATTCGTAAAATAGTCGAGGAAAAGTTGAAATTGATTCGGCATGTTTTGACCGAAAAGAATAAGAGATATAACTTGTTCAAGTTGAACGTAACGACAAATAAAATTCAAAAACGAAAATCTATTCGAAATGGGTATGAGTGAATAATAACATTTAATCGATCATTCAGATTAAAAAAGCTTTTAAAAGATTCGATGAAGTTAATTAATAAACAATTTCATTAAAAATCTCTATTGAGAATAATTCAAGATATGATTTCATCGTCTAAAAATTTGTCATAATAATTTTGTTTCACTCAATTGTCTATTAAATCATGAGATGTCTTATCAAAATAAAAGACTCGTAATATGTTGTTTTTTTTGACAATATGTTTGATGTTAATGCCAGGACATTATAATGAAAATCTTGCTGTGATTTAACACTGTTCAATAATATGAAATCCATTAATTTGATTCGAGTTTTTCAGCTTGTGAATCAACTTTTGGTTCTCATCAGGAATATCCTTTCACCCTCAGCTTCAAGCTGTTGAAAGCTTGAAAACGCGAATAGAAAAGTTTAAAAAAACTTTTCAATTTTTACATATGTAGACGTGTTTAACGAAACAGTTTTATTCAGCTAAACTTGCCTTGAAGTTCCATTATTTGATTACTAGGCAGTAATATTTACATCCGATGGATAATCATGAAGAAATTGAATAAAGCAAAGATTGAATCTCGAAAATGTAAGTTATATTCTTTGTTTTCCATCCATAGACCCAGACTAGCATTAGTAGATCAGATTGAGAAATAATGTTTGGTGGAAGTTTATATAGTTGTAATCCTATTCTGTATCTAGTTTACTCGTACTTTCTTTGTCATTGTCTTTTTACATTCTCCATCAAGCGAGTTTCTTCCGTTTGGAACGGTTCAATCATTAGGAACTTCATTGTAATCTTATTTCGTTCACATATATTGGTAAAAACAAAAATTTTCAAATGCAAGTCATAGTTAGAATGGAACCTCTTGGAATGTGCTTCTAGTTTTTAGAAAATAAAATAAAAGTAGTCAGCAGTATGAGCTAATTTATATTGGATGTTTACCAAATAACATACGTATTTATCATGATGAAAAAGATAAATATTACTGAAAACTGATTTGTTTTACTCTCGCAATACATAAGAGTTGGAGTTTTTTTCGTTATCACTGTAAAAATAAGTAAAAGTATCAAGAGCACATGTAAAAATGATTTTCGATGAGACGCTAAGTAATTCTGCAAAAGAAACAAGTAAGATTACGAAAAATCTATCAAAACTTATGAAAATCAATCGATTCAAGTAAAAACTTATCTGTTCAATGGAGAGTCGAATGCCAAAGCGGAAATTCTGTAACTTATTCATGATCGGAGCCTTTCATCATCAGTGTTAGACTTAGATATACGTTACCATTCTGAGCAAAGCACTAAATATGAAATAGACAAGCATCCATCACCTTATGGATTAAAGACTCTTAAAGAAGTTGCAGTGACCCATAGATCAGAATTTGAAAAGTAGACAGTAAGAAATTATTGAAGAATGTTTGAAATTTAATAATATCACATAGATTTTAATGATCAGAGCATGAAAATTCTTTTAAATTTCAAATTAATAAGTGATTTTTTTTCGAAAAGATATCAACAAATCTTAACCATCAATTTTTATTTTTACTTTATTGAAGTGATAAAATTATTTGAAATGAAATCTCTTCTTTTTATCTTCCTCTTTTTTCATCAAATTGGTTGACAAAAATTTTTTATCAAAATCAAATAATTAAAATCTGCTTTGAGATTTCTTCAAAAGAAAAGAATTTATTTTAATCCAATGAATTTTCTCGGAAAAAACTAAAGAAAAATAAGCTGTTGAAAAATAATCAATTGAATTCAAAATATTTTCTTTCACATTTTTTCTATTTATTACAAGTTAGATCATTTGAAAAATAAAACAAATTTGACTTTTATTTCTTCTTTTATTTCTATTCAAAATAGCAACGAGAGATTTTATCTCAATGTCTTTGGTGGATGGCCACTTGAAAACGAGAAAGAGAGTAGGCGATGGCGTGAGTATTCGTGTGATTGTGGCTGTAAATGATTGAAGAAGAATAGCCCATACCCACAATCACAACCCACATCCTACCATGTTTTATTATTATATTTATTGCTGTTGATGTTCAGTCGTATGCATATCAAATGAATTTTCGTTGTTTTATCTTATTATTATTTTTATATAGTTTTGCACTAATACCATTAACGTATTCAATAAGTTATTTATTTCGAACTCTATCAACAGGTTGTATAGTTATATCGTCAGTTAATATATTTATTGGTTTACTGACAACAACAACATTAGAAAATTTTCAAAATCAAGCAAATTTAGCAAAAGTTAATCAAGTTTTGACAAAATTATTTTTAATATTTTCACATTATTGTCTCAGACGTTGCTTATTTGACTTAAGTATACGTGTAACTTACTAAAAGAATATAATCAGTTTTAAATATGGTTAGTTGTTTATTCTTGTTTTTCTCTTGAGATTTTATAGTTATAAATGTTTGTTTGTTTGTTTGTTTAATAGTTGCGAATTATGTTTTCATATTACCATTTCAATTTGATAACGTTAGTCGAAATATAATGTGTTTACCTATTCAAGGTATTTTAATCGATTTTTTCATTATTTAGTGGTTGTATTCGTACACTGAAA